TTGGTCCATTGTAGCTCCCTTTATAGTGAGTTCAAAGTTCTCCGCTTAGTCCTGTTGAGTCCAGGAACTTCCAGATTTTCTGAGCGGGGAGCATCTGTATCTCTTCCGGTTGCATAATATCGCCATATGTAGTATTGAATTCATATATTCGCAAACCAACAAAATTATAAGTTGTTTATGATGTCCATTTGTATCTACGAAGCATGTTCTCTAAGCACATTCATTTTACATCAGGGTGGTTCTCAATCTATTATAGAATCACATAACTTTCACAAACAAGTCGTATTGACTAATGGCGCATTTAATCCTAACTTACGTAGGTGTTTGGGATGAAATATGGCATTTATTATTCAAACACGACTTCAGGCCTTCAAATATTAGATGATGGGAAAATAATTATAATGTATGACTCATATGATTACTATAAAACTACTGAGTTTTTCTGTTTTTTTTTGAAAGTGTTTTCATGAAAAGAAATGAAATTAAATAAATATGTCTATTACCTAAACATACATGAACATCTAGAGCATCCTACTTCTTGAAGTTGGTAAAAATTAGGTATTTTTAATAATTTATTTCAGGCAATATTTCAAAACGGATCATAAATATGTAAACAGAGGCCCATAACATATATACCTTCAAACTAACATATATATTAATTATAAAACTTAATAAATAATGCACTCAAGAAATATGAGCATTGAAGATGAGCATGTTTCATGCAAAGTATTATCATTTCTTGATGTCAAAAATTATTATCGCTCTACTGAAATTCATGTCAGATATTTTTACTTATTGCTTTACGCAGCTGCTGCTTCTTCATTCAAATCTGAAATTTAATGGACCTGTTTAGGTTAGATTAGATAGTAGATATTGTTTTATTGCTGAGCCAGATGCCTACATTAAGTCACTATAAAATTAGGAATTTGATTTGGGAGCTATTTTTTGCAAGAGGTTTCATTTTTACTCATACAACCGTTTTATGTCATATTTTATTCCACTCTACAATTTTACACAATAGAGTACTAAAACCTTTCAACGATTCAATAGCTTCTTAGCTTTAAAAATTTATTCAAGACTCAACATATCGTAAGCGATTTTAATCAATATTAGCCATTCCTATAAACGTTCCACGTTGACTTAAAGACTGAAAACTGTTAACTCCTAAATAAAAAAACTTAAGTTTTAACTTTGAAAAATACTCAATATGTATTTGTACGTGGCCTAACATAACGAAATGGGGATCATTCTTGCCTCAGTCTATTTTCTTACAGCTATAAACTTTTTATTGTATAACTCTTAGAGGAGCACAGGCGAAATAATATTTATTTATTTTCTAACCAACTATAAATTTTTTACGACTTTTAAAGCGTCATCTCCACTTCTTCAACACTGGATTTGCTTTTGGGCTAACTTGTTATACTCGTAGATGTCGCACAATATCCTATTAATTCCACTTAACAGCATGTTTCTTGAAACAATCGACTATACCACAGCTACGACGTACGTGTTAGGGATATGAGCTGTAAAAATTTGACATTAATTTTACAACTTTAACAATGAGATGAAGTATTTAGGTTTTGTCGTAAATCTATTTATTCTGGTCGATTAGTTTGTAACAGAGATAATGAAACGTTTAAGTTATAGTGCGTAATGGTTTATATGATACTAGCGGACCCGACAGACGTTGTCCTGTCTACACGTCTTTAATTTGAAAATTTCAAACTTTTTTTAATAAGCTAAAACATTCTGGACCATTTTGATGAAAATTATTATTCAAATTGTGAATCTAAACCATTCGCAGATCCCCTTGAACACACACAAAAAATTTCATCAAAATCGGTCCAGTCGTTTGAGAGAAGTTCAGTGACATACACACTCACAGAAGAATTATATATATAAAGATGTAATATTGATATCGCTTTAATTGAGCTATCAAGAAGCTTTAAAGTTTTTATAGAAAGAAATCAGGCGATAATAAACTTGTAGCGTGGAGGCAATGCCAATTAGTTACAATAATTTCATCTATTCTATGGCTTTTAGACGTACTAGAAGAACATAATTTACCTACTTTGTCATTAGACAATATCAACTATTATGTTTAAATATCATCAATTTCTTAACTAAAAATTAAAAAAGCACTAATTTTTACATAATAAAATAAATAACGTACCTCATATAATATATTTATTTATAAAATAAATATATATGTACATATAAGATATGTAGTTTACGGTATTTTAGTGTCGTATGTATTATAGTTATTTACTTATCATTGTAACTTGTTAATTGTTATTATATGATCCGACACACACATTTTGTTAATATTTTCCAATAATTAAAAGCTTCGGGAAGAGATCTCTTTAAAGAAATAAGTTATCCTACGTAATCATTTTTTCTGGCTTTATTTACTACTTTGTACATACTAATATTATAAATGCGAAAGTAGCTGCGTTTGTTTGTTTGTTACCTTTTCACAACTAAATCGCTAAACCGATTTAGATGTAAATTGGTATGGAGATAGTTTGAGATCCTGGGTAGGACATAGGATAACTTTTACCCCGGAAAGCATCCCCTTAATGGAGTGAAAAGTGGACTGGAAGTTTGTATGGAGAATCGATTAATTATTAATCAAATAAGGGATTTAAAACTCATCATACCTATCTATGTATATGTTGTCTATCTATTCTATACTAATCGATACATAAATAAATAAGAGTTATAAGGAAAACCACATTTATCAACCTTTCTTTCAAGCGAATCGTTAGAACTTAACCATTAGAGCACATTAAATAACAATGGTTTTAACGGAAGTCGGCTTTTTTACCTCACTGTCGGACACGCATCCTATGAGAATCCGTCATATCTAGCATCAGCACGTATCGTGCATTTGCAATATTCCTCAAGCCTGGAAAATAAGATACACTCGTGAGCCTACAGTCGTGACCGACCACGTCCTTCGCAGCCTTGGCTCGAGCATTTGTATTCCTTCATAGTTTTACACAATACTCGGATTAACATTGTTTTTAATGTTTCATAAATCTATTATTGTATTGTTTTAAATTATATATTCCTGTAGTGCTTCTGTAAATTATGTTTATGTTTATTTTAATCCAAGATTTCATAGAATATGATCTTTATTATATTTCTGTTTGAACAAACCTCTTTCCTGACTAATTGGGTGAAAGCTACGTGTAGACCCTTGAATAATGAGAAGAACTGAATACGAATAACTGAAAACATTATAAAACGAATTTATGTTAATTTTCAAGTCTATCTCTCAAGATTATCTATACATATAATAAAATTGTAACTAAGGCGAATCTGTACATAAGATATTTTTTGGAAAATCTAATTGAAATAAGCATTTTTATCGATACAGAGGCCGAATCTATAGTTTTTAGAATTTTCGTTTGTCTGTCTGTCTGTCTGTTACCGTATCACAGAAAAACCACTGGAGGGATTTTGATGAAATTTGGTATGGTGATAGCTGGTTATCTGGGTCAACATATATAATACTTTTTACTGCGGGAAAATATTTTGTTTGTGAGAACAAATACAAAAACTGCAATGTAAAAGTATACTAATATGTAAAACCTAAGAATTTGGTTTTTGGTCATCTGAACGCGGGCGGAGCTGTGGACAATGCTAGTTTAAGCTAAAAAAAGTATATTAACTTTAAAACCACTATACATATAAGTAATTATTCCAAACTTAGTATGGTAGGTTATATGAGACTACCTTTTATCATGTAGATACAACGTACATATATATGAAAATCTCACAATGAACTGTTCGTAAAACGACCAAAAGAGATAAGTACACACAATAAAATTAAGTCACTTCTATTTTTTTAAGTCGGTCAAAAATGTTGTTTATATATGACGTATATATATACTGAAATCATATACTTTAATTGTAATTCAAACTCCTTATACCACTTCATTCGCTTAACCCATCATGTCGGTTTTAACTGCAGGGGATATAATATAATAAGAATTTTTATATATGTACGTTATTTAATTAGGCTTATTTCCTTATCAATATTGATTTAAATATTTTATCTTCAGATAGCTTAACAAACGCAACTATCATTCGCAAAAAAATTAACTATTAAATTTCTGTCGTAAATCATCCTTATCCTTCTTGTGTTTGTTTAGGACCAAATTGGTGTAAGCATCGTGGAGGCAGAATGCCATCAATGTAAATGTTTACCGACTTTCAGATAAAGAGGGTATTTGTTGAGCACTCGTAAAACGTGATAGTCTCAGTCATAAAATTGAAAATAAACTTCTTTGGTATTTACTCTCTTGCCATTCAATCGGTTTAAAAATACATATAATAACATATGCTTTCTCAAGATAAAGCTAAATGTAAATAGCATACTGATAACGCATCGCAAAATGAATAACTTGTTTTCGCTCGCGGCTCTGCTCACGTGCTGAAAATGGCGTATGGTAGTCATGAGTGGTGAATTTAACTTTTCTTTTTAAATATAGATGGCAGATATGAATTTTTAGCACAGTGGCACGTTAGTTATAAAAATAAGAAAAAAAAATTACTGAGTTCTTGTCGCCTAATAAACTAATGTACTACCTATGTTTAAGCATAAATAAAGACATCCGAATCGAATTGCTACACGTAAAATGCATTGTTGAATACTAACTATTAACCAATTAAGGTCGACCCCATTTCTTAGTTACTATTCACATGTAATCAAGTATTTCTAAAGAAAGCAATGGTTCTTGTAAACTGGTCGCTATGATAATTTTATCTACGCATCCGGTAGCTTAATGAGTACCAAATGAGAGGGTTAAGACATTTGGGAAGCAATCGATTTGAACCCGTGAAGTAATAACGTGTTCCGCTGTGATTCGTGCTTCAATTTATTTAATTTTTATTACTTGTGGTAGTGTAATACCACCCATAGTCGATACTTTAATGGCAGGTGTTATATTGTAAAATAAAATTTTAACTGCCTCGGTGGTGTAGTGGCCAGCATGTACGACTGCACAGCCGGAGGTCCTGGGTTCGAGTCCCGCGTTGGCCCAAGATTAGTTAGTGAGTCTTTCTGTATAGTAAGCCGGAGTTGGGAAGTTGACGGTGTTTCACCCCCATGCCACGGAGAGCAGGTAAAGACGTCGGTCCTGCGCCTTAACTATCACTGGTCGTGTCGAGCAGTCGTCCCACCAGAGTATGAGAGTGACAGGAATAGAGAGTGCACTTGTCTCTGCGCGTACATTTGTGCACTATAATATCTCCTGCGCAGTTGGCATGTCTTTTATTATTCTAAAATAAGTCGGGGATGTAAGGTTACTAAGATGTAGGTAAATAGTCACTAATCTATTTTGCCTATATAAGATAACCGGTTATAAAACATTTGTAAGTTTCGCATAAAGGAGGATATTACCTACGACAATTTACATATTTTAGAGCTTAAAAAATTCACGTAACTTTAGGTGTACACGTATTACATAATAAATTTCAATTCGTTCCGTCCATAAAATTTACGCGATGACTATAGCTTAGAATTTACATAGTTATTTCGATGGATGTATGAAACCCTAAAATGCAACTGTACATTATTGTTACTTTTATTATTGTTTAAATGAAATTAATAGTAGATAAAATAAATAAGCACATACACTAAATGGACCTACTGAAATATTTATTATCTAATACGATGTTATTTTTGTAGGTGATAGAAAAAAGTAAATCAGCAAGTAGCGGGAAAGCTTTTTAGACAAATGACTTCCGCTAAAACACATTCAGCTGCTACTATTTCCGTGAGGATTTAATCTTTCTGGTTTGTTTACAAAATAAGTTTTTTATGCTGTCTTTAATTATCAAACTTCTATATCATCTACAATTTATTGATAAAAATTTCGTAATGTTAAATGAAATTATAATCTTTGTAATTTTTATATTTTTAAGCTTGTATCTCTGTGTAATGCTTTTGGGTATTAATTTCTAGCTAATAATGTAACTGATAATATTATTAACTTGTTATTATTTTCATTTAAATTAATTTATGTTTTGCAACGTCTACAAATTTGAATGTAGAAAATTTTTCAATCTGATATACAAATATGGTATCACACACAATTTGCAATGAATAGTAATCTTGCAAACCCTTTCCAACCAAATCGATGCATCGCAGATTTCGACATCCATTTGTATGCAACTCACAAAAATATTTATATTCTCAGCGTCACTTTTAAGATTTTTGTTAATATATCACGGTGGGATGCATTAAGAATAACTAATTTCATATTACCAATTTATAAAGATAATAAAAATTCAATAAGTGTCCATTTTAACCCATTGTTAGATTTGGATTTAAAAAAAACACGGTACACAGATTCACAAATTTAATAATGGTTGCTAAAGATGATTTATAATTTCCGTTGGCAAAAAACTTATCAAAAGTGTATCCTGTACAATACTTTTATATGCATCATTAATAAAGTGAACGAGGATGATCTTTTGCATGCTCATTGTCCAAATAAACTTGATTTTGCATATTGATCGCTTAAATATTTCCTGACATTATTATAATATATTATCATAAATAAATATGTTAGGACATTAACACACAGCACCATCTAGTTCCATGGTAATTCCACTGAAGTACAAACATTCGTGCTCATCACACAAATGAATGCCTGAATGAATGCATGAATGTTTCTACAAACTGAGCCAAACGAGCCGTCTATCATCCCGAAATATTACTTTCCGCATTTAAAGTACATCCCTTTTAGAGATATAACTCGTAAAAAAATGTAAATTCACTCTACATTGTAATGAGATAAAAATAAACACATTCACTAATCGTTAGTGTTTTAGCGTCAGCTTTGATATTGTATTTATAGTTTATACTTATTAGCTTAAAAAGGTTTCTTTTTTTTAGAAATAAATGTTTATTTTCTTACCTAAAACAATGTCTCTGGCTGAAACGGTGCATGCCAATGCCACGAACAGTGCGACAGCGATTGGCATTTCGCGCCAAAACGCAATGGCGGTGCGCGTCATGTTTCTTTACTCAGCTCGTCTTATTGGGCTCCATTAGCTTCTGGAACAATGTAAGTAATTGTTATTTTTTTATTTTATAACTTAAATACTGTCATTCAAAAAAGTAAACATAAGTAAAGTTATCGTAATGTATCGTTGAGCTTCATGTACAATATATATCACGTATTCTTGCTTAAATATATCAACTTACTCAGAGAAAACTAGAAAATTAGTAACGAGCTGCCCTAGTACTATAAAATATAATATAACCTTAATAAGAATGTAATAGATATAAAATAATAAAGTAAATTTCACAGACTTTCGAAGTAATAATAATATATATAAGAATATTCGATATTATAGTAATTTCATTTATATAGATAATGATGTTTGTTATGTAATGGCTGCATTATAAATCATAACCTATAAACAAATTTTAGAAGGACGAGATTAAATTAAGCGCAAAACGGATTTAGACAGTACTAAATATTTAACACATATCCTATTTGTTGGAATGATATATTGCTTTGCTTGAAACATCTGCAACATGTCCAAAAATAGATCTACTTACATACATTGGCTATAAAATTCAATACGTAATGCCCGTTGCAACGATGTACCCTGAAATACAGGGTGCGTAAAAACTAATAAATGTCAAGATGCATTCCCTTTACTGCCCGCCCATAAGTTACGCACAGTAGATCGACCGATCGACACTAAAAGCTAAGCTATATAATATAAAGCTTAGGAAAAGCGATTAAGAAATAACCGTTTTAGTGTGTACGTGTGAAACTTTTAATGTTGATGGAAAACGTTTGCCCACTTAATTCTCGGTTATATATTTTAAACAAATTTTTCTTTATGGTATATTATGTATTTAAAATATTATTAATTATTAAATTTAACTCTAATTTATTGAAAACGTTAAGTTTTACGCTATTGCTGTACATATTTATAAATTATATTATATTGTCTATGTAGCCATATTCTATTTTAAAAATAAATCGAGTCATATAAAGTTTGGCCTGAAAACCCTTATTTAATGTAACATATAAAATCTCTTAAAAAACTTGTATATACAAAGCATATTTTTGTCGCACTGACCATTAACTCTACAGTCCTGCCATTTGACAAGAGACTCTACCCTTGTATATTAAGATACAAAATCGCTATAAAAGTTTTATAATAAAATGAGAGATTTAAAGACTCATTTTACGCTGTGGGGAAATTTTTAATGCATTTTCTGAATTGAGTTACTATGGGTATAATTTTATCTCGCGCTCCAGTCGAGTTCGTTGGCTCGTTATAAAATTAAACATTAAATAAACAACCACGTGAAATTTAGTTTTGATCTGTACGCATTAGACGGAGAATTTCATTATATTTTTCATGTCATATTTTTATTTAAATGTATATAATATTATTGTAATATATATATATATATGTGTGTGTGTGTATTATGTATTATTAAATAGTTAATCTTACTTGTGTAACGTTCAGAGTCTGTAACATATCTACTCTATCTTACGCTTTCCACTACTTAGATAAGAGGGTCCTGTGAAAGGGTAGACGTACGCACGTATCCTAGTGCGTGTGTCTCAGCACTCCTTTGCTCATGTTTTGTTACACAATAATTATTATTAGTTTAACAAAATGGATACAAATATACTCCATATTTGTATCCATTTTGTTATTACGAATTAAATCCATACTAATATTATAAATTTGAAACTGTTTGTTTGTTTTTTTTTGTTCGTTTTTCTTTCACGTCACAAAAAAGTAACGGATTGGCATGATATTTTCTGTGGAGATAGTTGGAAGGCTGGAGAGTGACATAGGCTTTTTACCGCGGGAGATTATCTCATTCCCACGGAAAAACACGTTATAATGCAACCCAAAAAAAAAATGATCAGAATTACTTGAAACTTGGTATTAATGCTCTTCAATAGAATTAAATTAATACGTGTTTGCATTTTTCGAAATTATCCCATAAGGGGGTAAAATAGGCGATGAAAGTTTGTATGAAACCAACTGTTTTAGTTTTTTTTTATAGTTACAACACGAGCGAAGCCACGGGTTTGGCTAGTAAATAAATAAATATCACACTACGAGCACCGACAGCTGTGCCTAAAAATAACAACTTAGGCTTTTAAGGAATGTTTCCTTACTTTTATAAAAAAAAATAGAATCGATTTAAGAATATCAGAGATTAACCTCTACAAAGGTATAAGAGATAAAACAAACAAATAAAAGCCCCCTATTTTTTTTGTTATACTTTTACTGTTTGCATAACCTAAATAGTTAATAAATTTTAAATAACTGATTATAAATTTTAAACGGTATTTAAACTAACAATTCAATACAATTTGAATATAAAGATTCCTTCAAGCAGAAATTTCGTTAATTGATGATTTAAATGAGTCAACCTCTTTTAATTATTTTTTGACATGTAAAACGACACCCAATAAACTGAATGTCATCTCAATCAAAACAATTCAGTGTTACCATTTCAAATATCAAATGTTTCATAAGCATAAATAGATACTCATAAAATAATATATAAAGGAGGCAGAAAAACTTTTAACTTTTAACAGCTAAGCTCTGTTTAATGTTGGTTTTCATTAGACCGTATAACACGTGCCCTGGTCTCATATATCATAGCGATGAAGGGTTGGCTCGGTATATTTAACATTGGTTCGAACATTGGCCCAAGTAAGATTGAGAACAATCTTCGATTTACGTCAGATATACGTGGAATTTTGTTTATATGAGTTAATCAATAAAAATATATTGCATTATTGCTATTAGATGACTGTATTATGACTAAATTTAGCTTTAATAATCCTTGAATAAATGCTAACTTTAATTTTCAGACTGGTTGAAGAAACTAAGAATTATATTTTAAAAAATGGAGTGAAGTTAGTGAAACTTCCTGCTTCTGCACTGAACTGCCTTTCCACAACAATTTAATGATGGAAAAGAGAATCGGGGGGCACGGCAGTTCTAATGTCGACCTATGGTAATTACTCCTGTCTAATTATATCATTTCCATTTACTATGCGAGAGTCACTCTGTTTGTATGTCTGTTAAGCGTAAAAACTTAATCCACTGAACTGATTTAGATAAAATTTGATATGGAGATAGTTTGAGACCCTGAGAAGAGCACAGGATAGTTTTTATCCCGAAATTATCCTTTAACAGGGTGAAAAAAGAGGTGGAACTTTGTGTGGGGAAACAATCATTTCTCAAGTAATATATATTTTTAATTTTTTTTTAATTCTTACCTACTTCCCTATGACTATGTATATATAGCATATCTATCCCATACTAACCGATAAAACGTATCTAGGGACGGGCCCAAGCGAATTGCGAGTGAGTTGCAAGTCATTACGTACTACGAATATATGTAATTCGTCAGATTTTGTCGCTTAAACTTCACTAACTACAATTAATATTGACTTATATTTATCTAGTGTTAGCTAAAATGACACTAAATAAATTATTTTTTATACTAGAAACACTAAAACATAACTTTTTCATCCAAGTTGGCCCAACGTAGAGCCAACTTAAAAGTGGATACAAGTAAAGGGTTAGATTACTTTTTTATTGTTCTGCTCCCTCGATATAGAAATAGAACTTTCAACGTTCTTGTACTTGATTTATTTTAACCGTGTTTTTATAATCCGTGGTATAAATAAATGACGTGTAAATAATTGAGACAAGGGCAACGGGTACTCTGCCTACATCTGGAATTTTTGTTATTAATTTAGGGTTAATAAGTTTTCTATTATAAATATTATGATTTACCGCAATCATGGTTACGGTAGAGACTGTCTCTCCCGTGACCATGATTGCTGTAAAGCTTTCAAACGTCGGGAACCAAAGATTGAAATAAATCCGCGGAAAACCCCGAAAAGATTTGTTTTATTTAAAATGTCAAATATTCGCGTGAATCTAAGAAAGTGTTATGTGAATATTATAGTGTCAGATAAGGTTAACTCTCTCTAGATGATTTCAATATTTTTCTTTTAACTGTACAGTAAACCTTTTGTTTGAATTTTAGTTAATTTAGATATAAGTTTAGCCTTTTCGTACGACTTAAACGATTTCTTCATCAAAAGCAATTATATTAGTTCGGTTTTTTCATTATTTTAAAGATTTTAAAGCTTATTAGTTATTACATTATTTCATTTCATTACAACCTTACTCCATGTAGCTCTTAAATAAACACCCTTTGAAGATATACAAACATAAATACGTAGAATCTAAATTATAGATATTAAATTATGTATGTAGTTCCATTGTACCACCTAATAAATTTAGTCTATAGACTCCGAGAGCACTCTAGAGGCGAGATAAAAGGAGAAAATAAAAAGCCGTGTATGCACAACAGAGGTGCAGATAACATAAACAATTACATAACTCGTCGCCAGATGGCGCGTGCGGTGGTTTTTTACGCTGATATTAGTAAACAATGTTTTTTATTTATATAGAGTGTGATTTTTTCGATCACCTTTGAGATAATTTTCATTTAGAATGTAGTAGAAATGTAAGTTATAAACTATCTTGTTAGTCATTACCATCACGATGGATATTAATATTGTCATATTTTGAAGGACCGCAGTTTTTTTCAAACATGTTCACGTCAGTTGGTATGTAACTTAAAAAATACGATATTTGTTTAAATAAGAATTTTTCCATCACTCCGAAAATGGAGTCATTCTTTTGAGAATTTAAATAGGTTGTCATAAATCTTATAACCACCCCAAATAAACTAGCTCTTTGTTAAAAAACACTATTCGATTTCTTTCCTCAGTTTAAGCATTACGAGTCCACAAACAGACAGATATCCAGACAAACAGACGATAATAATTACAACCTTTTATTACGTTGGGAGTTAAAATTCCATTTTGTTTCTTGTCTCTTCATAATTTGAAAATGTAGATGTATAGAAGGCTGAGCTTTTCATTCGATTCAAATATAAAAACGACTCATGCGATAAAAGTCACAGGCAAAAATTA